TTGCACGGCAGTTCCATGCAGGCATGGCGCGCGTGGCAGCAGCCAAGGCGCGCATGTTCGTTAACAAGCCCGATGGGAGTGAGCCCCAGTCCCATCCGCTCCCTGCTCGCTGCACCCTGCTCGCTGCACCCTGCTCGCTGCACCTTGCTCGCTGCTCCTCTCGTCTGCCCCGCTTTGTCTGCTTACTCTTGCCCTTGCACTGCTCTAGTTCCCTGACCCTCTACGACGGCTCTCCTTCCTTTGCTGTCCCTGCCCCCTACCATCCCACAATCCAACTGCAACCCCCCCTCGTCTGTCACCATTCGCTCCCCCCATCTCCTGCAGCACCCATACTCCAGCTCCTTTTTCCAACCTGCGCCGCACTCTCTCAACGCATCCCCCATGTGTCGCATCTCCCCTCCCTCTCTCCCTCCCCCCCTCTGTGTCGCCAGTGGTGCGCGAGGTGAAGGGGCCGTACAACGAGCCGTCGCACCCATACCTGTACGACGACGACGACATGTGGCAGGCGCCCGGCTTCATCCACGAGTTCCACGAGGTGTGCCTTGGGGGGGACTTCAACACGGATGGTAGGCGACATGCGGCGTGTGCCCTCGGCGCTCTGCCCTCTGCCCCAGGCTTTGTTCTTCTGCATCCGCTGAAGCCCTGCAAGGTTCCGAGGCGTCGCTCTCAACCCACACCGCTTCTCCTGACGCCCATCAACAACTGTGCTGTATTGCCCCACCGCCATCCCAACCCCCGCCCCCAGGTGCCCCCTGTATGGAAGCGGTATGCGGAGGAGGTGGACGGCGAGCGTCAGCTGTGGCTCAACTCGTTTAAGAAGGCGCCGCTGCGCCTGCCCTCGCCCTCCGAGCTCTCCTACCTCTGGGACCAGGGTGAGCGCGCTGGCACTGGAACCAGAGTGAGTGTGGGGAATGGGGTAAGAATGAGTCGCACCAGTCTGCGAGTGTGTGGCAGCACAGCACAGCACAGTCAGTGGGCGGATCGGCTTGCAGGAAAGCAGTGGTAGTGGGTGTGTGAGGTCTCTCAGGATTCCCCATCATCCACCATTCTCACCACTCCCGAGCACTCTCACCTGCTCCAGGTTCCATCCCCCGCTGCATCCCTTCCCCCCCCCCCACCCTCAGACGAGGAGTTTGTGGTGCTGCGCAACACGCCTCGCCTGCCTGAGAGGGCGGGGGAGAGCGCGGAAGAGGAGGAGATGCGGCGGGCGGACATGCAGGGCGAGGTGCTGGTGCACGTGCCCACCCGGCAGATCATCAACTGGACCACCGACGACGAGGGCAAGCTCCGCCTCTTCGTGCAGCCCTTCCCCAAGTGAGCACCGGATGGCACGGCATGGTGTGGCACCGCTTTAGGCATGGCATGGCACCACTTTACGCATGGCATGGCATGGCACCACTTTACACATGGCATGGCATGGCACCACTTTAGGCATGGCATGGCACCACTTTAGGCATGGCATGGCACCACTTTAGTCATGGCATGGCATGGGACCACTTTATGCATGGCATGGCATGGCATGCCTTCACCATGCGCACAGCCGCTGTCGCTAGTCCACTGCCTCGGTGCGTGCCCTATGGCTTTCCTAACCCATCTATGCTAGCACCCATACACTCCGTCTCACTTTTCCTCCTCCCTTCCACTCCCCTCTACCCCACCCCCCAACCCCCCTTCCCCCTCCCCCAGGGACGGCAAGGTTGACCCGTCCAAGGCGCGGCCGCTGCCTCTGGGGTTCGACGAGTTCATCAAGGGCGAGGAGATGGAGGAGGAGGAAGACGAGGACGAGGACGAGGAGGAGAGCGAGGAGGCCCGCAGGCTCAAGACGCCCGAGCAGCTGCAGCGCGACGCGGAGCGCAGGCGCGCCAAGGCAGCGGAAGCACGGCGGAGGAAGGTGGCGCGGTGGGAGCGCAGTGTGCGCAACCAGGCGGCGTCGCGGCGGGAGAAGCGTGAGGAGGAGTGGGCGCAGCAGGACGCGGAGGAGGAGGAGCTGCGGCAGCTGGAGGAGGACGAGTGGGAACGCGAGGGCGACCTCATGGAGGCTGAGTTCGAGGCCCGGCTGGACGCCGCTGAGGGCATCCTGCCCGAGGGGGGCGAGGAGGAGGACGCGGAGGAGGGAGAGGGGGAGGGGAAGGCCGGTGAGGAGGGTGTTGCGGCTGGGGGAACCAAGGCTGCTGCTGCTGCTGCTGGGTCTGTCAAGGCTGCTGGTGGGGGGGCAGGGGAGGAGGAGGAGTCAGAGAGTGAAAGTGATGACGATGATGATGACGATGATGAGGAGGAGAGGAAGCCAAGGAGCTTTGGGACGGTGGCGATGGCGGGGAGTGAGGGCAGGGAGGAGGGCATGGCAGGGGAGGGGTGGCTAAGGGGGCCGGCTGCTGGGAGCAGCACCACTGTGTTCGCTTCCATCTCGCTCTCCTCTCAGGTAAACGCCCCTCTCGCATCCATGGGTGCCACACACCTCACACAACTCCACTCACGTGCTTTTGTACACGCCTTTAGTCAAGGGTTGTTTTCCCCTACTGCCATAAGCCTTCCATCTCCCTGCCTGCCTCGCGTGCCCAACTCGTCCGCGCTCACTCTCTCCTCACCTGTCTCCCCTGCCCTCCCCCCTGCCCCAGGTGGCCCTACAGCATGCCCTCCACCACGCAGCGCGCTCCATCTCCTCCCTGCGCCGCCTCCTCCCCTCCGTCTCCCCTGCTGCTCCACCTGCTCCCTCTGCCACCACCGCGTCCCTCTCCCTCTCCTCCACCCCTGCAGCCTCCCCCTCTCTCCCTCCCCCAGCTGCACTGGCTGTGCGCATGCCTGCTGGCGTGCCTCTGCTGCCCTCCCTGCGCGCCTCGGCACTGTCCGCATCTGCTCGCCATGCGCCTCTTGTGAGGAGCAGCTCTCATGTGGCTGCCAGAGTCAGCAAGGGCCGGCAGCAGCAGCAGCAAGTGCAGCAGGAGGCAGGGACTGCAGTGGGGAGCGTTTTGTCCCTGGCACTGCCGCTGCCTGCCACTCCCTCGCATGCTTAGCTTGCCTGAGATGAGCTGCTGCTAAGCAGTGACCCTAGGTCCATAGCACCAAACTGGACTTGGAAATACCTAGCCAGACCAAAGGTTTGAGGTATGGTTAGTTATTAGTCAACAAACACTGCATGGAATGGGAGTTCTCAGACCACCCTGTCAAAGCCATGGCTGAAGCCATCCTCTTTGGGTGGAACATTTGGTACTGGCAGTCTGATTGCCGTTGGTGGAATCAAGATGCTTGTTTACTGTGCCGTTTCCTTTTCACAGTGGAAGGGACTGAAGCAGTGTTTAGAAGAGGTTGCACTGCACAAGTTACGAATAGCAGTACATGATTCATGCCGGTAATTCATGGAATCTGTTTCCTGTCTCAATATTTTGCACTGTATATTCATGATTCGTCGGGCTTCATCTCTCGGTTGTGTGTGGAGTGTGGACCACCTTTGAAACTTCATTGGTCAGTCCATCTGTTTGAGTGCCTGAGCGGGTACATATTTTCCAAAGCTCCTCTGTTACCCATATACGGTAGATGCATCCATACATAAGTTATTCCTACACGCATGCCACACCCATGTCTCCCCGCCTCTACCCATTCAAGAACGAGCCCTTGGCAGCCGAACCACGCAATTCTAGCCTCTGTGACTGCCATGAACTGGATTCAGGCGCCTTGACCACACCCCCCCGTGGAATCTCTGCACGCGTGTGTCCATGCCCAAGGCCCTTCCAATTCGTAGGGGGCCTCGGGGTTCCAGTCCCGGGGTTTGCTGCTGACTTAACTCCCAATCACAATCCCTGCCCTGCTGTCAAAGGTCCAGGACCTGGGGTGGTTGGAGTAGGGGGGCTCGGGGTTCCAGGTCCAGGGGCGGCCATTGATCTTGCCGGTTCGGGGCACGTAACCCCCGCCGACGTACAGGTCTCTGCGGTTCCAGATGTTGGGGATCTTGCAGATCTGCACTCCCTTGCCGCGGTACGGCTTGTTGGCGCACTTCTTCAGCTCGCTAATCCAGTAGCGGTACCCCACCGACTCCAGCCACGGGTTGCCAAACGCCATGCGGCCGAATGCCATGAAGTTGGGGCCCGGGCACGTGACGCCCAGCTCCATCAGGGGCTTGTCGATGAAGTAGTACTCGGTCTCGAACACCTTGAGGCCGTGGCACGCGCACGAGTAGTTGTACCATCTGTTCCACGTCGCATCCGGCCTGCACACAAACTCCTTGGTCATCTCGTTGGTCTGTGCCTGCGCGCCGCGCCACTGGCTCGCCGCCACCAGCACTGCGCACAGCAGCGCCATGCTCAGGAAGAGGCGCCCCATGATACCAGATACAGCTGGCGCAGAGAGTACTCAGAACTGCAATTACTTGAGAGTAGCGAGATTCCGAGGAAAAAACTTCAGTTTCAGCAAAGGCTCGAGGTGGCTCCCTGGAGCCAGAAATTCTAGTGGTGAGTGCTTTGGACCAAGTGAGGCACTCGCCCTTATATTGCCGATCGATGCCCGATTCATCCGTGGGCGAGTCAAAATGTCGATTTCTCGAATCGCAACCTCCGAACCGCACATGGGAACTCGGGCCAGTCAGCGGAGGTTGCGCGGTTGAGACGGTTGATCTTCCGTTTCGCTGCTTCGGGAGTGTGCGTGGCGCTCCCTCGCTGCCATTGGCTAGTTAACTTCGCATGGTTCGGGAGCTCAATTTGTAACATTCTCGGTCTACACTTATAAATTATTCGTTCATTTCTCCAAAGTAGCTGAATCTGAATGAAGAAATCTAGGTCTCTAAAACGAGTATGCACCAATTTCTTATTTCTGCGAACTGTTCGTTCTTCTAGCGGAAAACCTCACGATTGTGGCACCAGAGCGCTCTCTCGAGATTTCCCTGCCATCCCTGCCAGGGGAAAAGGAAATGCGGGCCAACACCAAGGCGGGAAAATACCAAAGCTGGAGAATCACAACACGCGAGGCAGTCAGTTCAGTCTGACACGTCAATCGCCGCTGGGAGTGGGCACGTGCTGGACCCTATATGTTCAGCAGACAATACCGTAGTGAAACTTCAGTGCGGGAGACTCCGTTAGGAGCTGTAGCATTGTGCGTGGCCTTCAAGCTTTCTCGCTGCCGTTTCTGCCAGCCTCGAGAGCTTACCCAAGTCATTCGCCTCTTATCTCTCGCTGCACTCCGTCCTCTCCACCGTAACTTCGTCGTCGTTTCTCCCGTCGCCGTATTCCGCTGACTGCTCCTCGGCCCATTATCTACCGTCTCGCTGCGCCTATCCTCCACCGTGCATCCTTGATATTGCCGTCACCTCACGCCCGCATGGGGCCTGACGACACTGTGCGCGACACTGCGACAAAGTCGCAATTCCTTCCACCCGTCGTACGACCCGTTCCGCCCGCCATCGCAAAATGCCTGGATCGCGTGCGACAGTCTCTGCAAGTGACGTTCAAGGAATTCGTCGCAGACGGCCGCCAAAGCAAGAACGGCGACTCAAGCGACTCAGCCGGCGACAGCTCTGGATTGGTTCAGATCCGCTGCCGCGACGCGCAGCGCGATCAGATCGTCGCATTCTGTCGTGAGCATGCGACTAAAGGCCGCGCGGGCAGCCTATACGTTTGCGGCTGCCCAGGAACAGGAAAGACCCTGATGCTGTCGCAAGTGGCGAAAGAGGTGTCCACGTGGACGAATGCCGCCGGCCAGGTGAGCCCATCGCGTGCCGCAATAGCAGCTAGGGTCGTCACCCCCCAAGCCCCGTCTGTTCTTTCCTCAGCGGCGGTTCGCCATCCCCCCCACTGCCTTGTCGCTCCATCACCCACACCCCTCCATGCACCGTGCTCCATGCATTCACCTCTCACTGCACCCACAGACTTAACTCAATTCAGTCCAAATCCCCTCGAATTTGAAACTTTCCCCAATCAATTCCCGTCATCCCTACATTCACCCCATCGCCCCATCGCCCCATCGCCCCCCTACCCACCGCTGTCTCCGCCAGCCCCTGTGTGCGCCGGTGTACGTCAATTGCATGGCCCTCACCGACCCCGCCGACCTCTTCCCGCAGGTGCCTCCCCGCTCCAACCCTCTCCCTTCCTCCTCTCTTCAGTTCAGCATGGCACCCCCATGGCACCTCTTCAGTTCAGCATGGCGCCCCCATTCCCGCTCCACTCAGCGCATTCACAGACGTACCAAGTCGCTGCCTAGGATTCCCCCGCTTCCCCTGTTCCCCTCGCTCTCTCCCCTCCTCGCTCTCTCCCCTCCTCCCTCTCCCCACGTCATCACGTCGTTCGCTCCTCATGCACTCTCTTTCTCCGTGCTCCTTCCCCGTCCCGCCCTTCTTTCCCTCCGCCCTCTCCCCATACCATCACCACCCCGCGCGCGCCTTAGCTGGAGCGGGCCATAGCGGCAGCACAGGCTGCGCACCCTAGCTCCCCCCCAACCCACCGCGGGCGGCAGGGCGGGCAGGGCAGAGGGGGCAAAGGGGGAGCGCGGACGAGCGGGCAGGGGGAGGGGGCGAGAGAGGCGGTGCAGGCGCTGCTGCAGCAGGAGGAGGGGGTTGATTCTGGGGCTGCTGAGGGCGCGGGTGGGCGGGATGGTCCCGAGGGGATGAGGTCCCCGGGGTCAGATGCGGATGTGGTGGAAGTGACGCCAGCGGACGCAGGGAATCATGTAGCGGGGAAGGGAGGGGACCAGCGGGGGAGAGGGGGCGGCAGGAGGGGGGGGAAGGGCGGTGGAGAAGCGAGGAGAGTGCTGCGGCTGAGGGAGAACGAGGGGGAGCAGGGGCAGGGAGGGGGGAGAGGCAAGGGTGGTGGTGATACGCAGTGTAGTCATGGGGGCAGCTGCACGGGAGATGCGAGCAGTGGTGGTGGCAAGGGCGGGAGGAAGGCAATGATGTGAGCCAGTCCGCTGATTGTCCGCATGCCCTCTTCACCCTCCTATGTCATCCACATGTCATGTCAGCGCGCTCATTCTTCACGTGCCATGTTTGGCTGTCCTATCAGTGAGATTTTCCCCTCGAAGGCAGCATCTCTCTCGCTTCTCTTCTTGCTTGTGTGTGGTATGTGTGTGTGTGGTGTGCCTGCATGCGTGTGTGCGTGGCATGGTGCAGTCTGGTGGTGGCGGACGAGGTGGATCAGCTGGTGAGGGGCAGGGACTGCAGCGCGCTCACGCACCTCTTCCAGCTGCCCTCCTCACACGCCCTCTCGCGCTGCATCCTCGTTGGTCAGTGCTGCGCCCTCTCCTATTGTCCAACACAACTGCTACGTTCAGTGCCGAAATCGTCTTTCGTTTGCTGTGCACCCCATGCACCCCATGCACCCCATGCTCCCCATCCTCCCCAAGAACCCCATGCACCCCATGCACCCCATGCACCCCATGTACCCATGCACCCCCCCCATGCACCCCATGCACCCACCCCATGCCCCCCCCCATGCACACCCCCCATGCATCCCCATACACCCCCTTGCACCCCCCCGATGCACCCCCCCCATGCACCCCCCCCGATGCACCCCCCCATGCACCCCCCCCGATGCACCCCCCCCATGCACCCCCCCCGATGCACCCCCCCATGCACCCCCCCGATGCACCCCCCCCATGCCCCCCCCCCCGATGCACCCCCCCCATGCAACCCCCCCCATGCACCCCCCCCATGCACCCCATGCACCCCCCCATGCACCCCATGCACCCCCCCCATGCAACCCCCCCCATGCACCCCCCCCCATGCACCCCATGCACCCCATGCACCCCATGCACCCCACCACGCCTGCATGTGCTCTCATCTCCCTTCAATGCACCACGATGCCTCTTGTGCACCCTGCATGCCCCGCCCCCCGCCACCAGGAATATCAAACTCCATCCACCTCATCGACTCCGTGCTGCCACACCTCTCTCAACTCAACTGCAGGTGGCCCCTCTGCCCTCCCTGCACGCCTCTGACACATCCCCTCCTGTCCTCCCTGCCTTTCCCCCCATCTTTCCCCCCATCTTTCCCCCCATCTTTCCCCCCATCTTTCCCCCCATCTTTCCCCGCATCTTTCCCCCATCTTTCCCCCTTCCTTCCATCCTTTTCTCTCCTCTCCCTTCTCCAGCCTTCTGTCTGCTCTGCCGAGCATCCAGCCCTTGCTCTCCACGTCCCGCTGCATGGCAACACTCCCTGCTCAGCCTCCCCTCCCGTTCACTCTCCTCTCTCCACCTCTCCTCTCCTTCTCCGTCTCTCAGGGGTGTCTCAGCACGCCCAACGCTGCTGCCATTCCCAGCATACGACCGCAATCAAATCTACGAGATTCTTTCCCAAAGGCTCCAGGTATTAGCAACTGTTGATACCCGCGGGTTGACCATTACGGCACGCCCGCGTGTTGCCCGTCTCTCCTTTACGCCCATCCACACATCCATTCTCACACATCCACAACACATCCACAACACATCCACACCCATCCACACCCATCCACACCCATCCACACCCATCCACACCCACCCACACCCATCCCAGAGTCATCCATCCGTCTTTCCCGTTTCGTTTCTTTCACCATCCCATTCCCCCCCCGCCCGCCCCTTTCACTTATTGCCTCTTCTGTGTGCCGCTCTGTCTCTGCCTATGGCTTTGCTGCATCCCCTGCCCCATTCACGATGGTGGGCTGCACTCTTCTCTCGTGCAGGCCGCGGCTGGCGTGCAGGCGGAGGGAGCAGCAGCGCCCAGGGCAGCAGCAGGGGAGGGAGGCGGCAGGGAGAGTGCGTCAGTGGCGTTCTCATTTGAGCCCATGGCGCTGCACCTCTGTGCGCGGGTGAGCACCACTGGAGCCACGCCTTTTTGCCATGCTGTTGCTCGTGCCCCTTCCACCCCCCTCCTTGCCAACTCCCCCCCTCGTGGCCCAAGCCCATCTCACTCTCTTCCTCCTTGCCCGGATCCTCTGCTACCCTCTCCCCTCCCCTGCCATGCCATGCTTGCATGTGGATGGCAGAAAGTGGCAGCAGCATCGGGGGACATGCGGAAGGCTCTTGACATCACAAGGTGAGCGGAGCAGCTGCTACTGCCCCTTCAATGCACTCTCAATCTTCGCACAGCCACCTTCAGCTGCAGTAGATAGGCAGAGCGTGTGGGCGAGAGAAATTAAGTCCCAACTCTATCCACGCCCCCCTGCAGCACCCTGAACGGGCCGCTCAACAAAGTGACTTTTGAGTCGACTCAAAAGTCAACTCCATCCACACCTCTCTGCAGCACCCTGAACGGACAGCTAAACGAGCCCCGCCCGTAATCATGACTGCCTCGCTCATACTTTCTTCCCCCCCTCTCTTCCCCCGTTCCGTTCCTCGCCCCTCTGCTGCCAGAATGGCAGTCGATGTTCTCGAGGACGAGCTCAGGGCAGAGCAGAGGGAGGTGGATGTGAGGGAGGCCGCATCTGGAACAGGCCCACCTGGTGCACTTCCCGCTGGGGCGGCAGCAGGCGGCAGGAGCAACAAGCGGGTGGCAGGGGGAGAAGCAGACGGGCAAGCAGAGAGCAAGAGGCAGAGAGACGGAGTGCAACAGCCGAGGCAGGACGCGCAAGAGAGAGCCACCCTGATTTCTGGCACCCAGGCCAAGGGGCTTGCTGGCGGTGGTGGTGCTGGTGGCGCTCAGGCGACTGGCTGCACCAATGGTGGTGGTGGCAGCGGTGCAGCATGTGCTCTGGGCGCTGAAGCAGCCTGCCCCAGTTGGAGCCTGCCCGTCAAGGTGCGCCCCTCTCTTCTCGAGTGCGTGCCTGCCATCGCGTGGATCGCTTCGTTTCTCCATCGCGCTCTGCTTCATGCGCCTCAAAACCACTCGCTCCCCCCTGCCCGCGCTAAACCCTCCTTTTCTTGTACCCTTGTAACCCCCCCCCCAAAACCCCCCACTCCCAGCTGGACGTGCACCACATGGCCCAGGCGCTTTCCTGCTCCTTCGCTTCCTCTACGGTCGACTCCATCCGCTCACTGCCCCTGCACCAGCAGGTTGGAACCCGCCCTCCCTTGGGCTGCACCGGGCCTCATTGTAACTTCCTCTCTACCTCCTGACTCGTGCAGCATCAACCTCTCCTCTAGTCACATACCCGTCATTGTCCCTTGGCGCTCATATTCCCCTCCCCCACTCCACCCCACTCCGAGGCAGATGGTGCTGGTGGCGTGTGTGCAGCAGCACCAGCAGCAGAGGGCGCGGCACAGGTTCATCAGCAAGGGGAAGCCTGCATCCACCACCAAGGACTTTCTCCTCTCCCAGGCACGTGCTGCTCTCCCAGGCACGTGCTGCTCTCCCAGGCATGTGCTGCTCTCCCAGACACGTGCTGCTCTCCCAGGCACGTGCTGCTCTCCCAGGCACGTGCTGCTCTCCCAGGCACGTGCTGCTCTCCCAGGCACGTGCTGCTCTCCCAGGCACGTGCTGCTCTCCCAGGCACGTGCTGCTCTCCCAGGCACGTGCTGCTCTCCCAGGCACGTGCTGCTCTCCCAGGCATGTGCTGCTCTCCAAGGCACGTGCTGCTCTCCAAGGCACGTGCTGCTCTCCCAGGCACGTGCTGCTCTCCCAGGCACGTGCTGCTCTCCCAGGCATGTGCTGCTCTCCCTCTCTTGGATGATGGCTGCTCTCACGTTTGCCCATATCAGATGTCCCACCATCCTTGTCTCTCCACCACTCACCTCCCCCACATTCTCCCCCCTTACCCCCTCCCCCTTACTCCCTCCCCCCTCCCCCCTCCCCCCTCCCCCATCTTCCAGCTGTACAGTACCTACATGGCCTTGGCGCGCTCGCTGCACGTGCCAGCAGTCACGCTCAACGAGGCCACTGATATGTGCGGCATACTGCAAGGGCAGGTGGGGTGCGGGGTGTGCCGGGGGTAAGAGCTGCAAATGAGTTCCCTGAGGCAGCACACATTGTTGGCCTAGATACTCGTTATTGCCTCCAGTCACCTTCATCTCCGTGCACCGGCCATACTCCTAGTGTTACATTCAGATGTTAGCTTGACCACATGTTTCCTGTGCGATGTTGTGTATTTCCAGGCTCTTTTGCAATTCGTGGGTGCTGGTAAGAATGCTGCACGCCCCCAGGCCAAGTGCAAAGTGATGCTCAAAGCGAGTGCTAGCGATGTGATATTTGCCCTCCAGGTATGTTACTTGATGGTGTTTATGTCTGTCGTCACGACTCACGTCGTTCTAGCCTGACACTCCTGACTCACGTTGCTTTTGTTTTGAAATGCAGGGGGTGCGTCTATTTAAGCAAGTCCTTACCGATATTGCAGCAGATGTTGAGGTTTGATTTATGGAGATGTGTTGCTTGAACCCAACCTGTTAATGTGGTAGCGAAGTGATGTAGTATTTCATTATTTCACAGAATGCGTGCTTTGAATCCGAAGCTTAGTAACGGGTATATCCTTGTACCACCCGCATCTTTGCCATGCACACCACGAGACCCGTCAGCAAGCGACATGTGCGTCGTGACTCACGACGAGTCGCGTCAGCCTCCCTGGCTCCAAGAACTCACGGCGGCCCCTTTTGCCTTGACAGTACCATGTGCGCTGTGTGCATGTGGCTGCTCAACCCCTTGCTTCCTCGCATCGTCACTTCCGTCTTCTTTCTCTCTGCCTTCATTCGAAACTAGTACGCGGTCCTCCCAGGAGAGCTACCCGTCCCCGTGTTTCGCGCTTTCCTTCTAATATCTCAGGAGTCGCCAAGACGCGCGGCACGGCAGCAGCCATGGAAGCAGCGCACGAGGCGCTGGTGAAGAGCGGAGTGATTGGCGATGTGCTCGAGGACTTTATGCCGTCCATGGACATGAAGGTATGACGTCATACCGCCCATGGACATGAAGGTATGACGTCATGCCGCCCATGCTATGACGTCATGCCGCCTATCAACATGAAGGTATGACGCCCATCGACATGAAGGCATGACGTCATGCCGCCCATGGATATGAAAGTGTTATAAGCAATAGCAGTTTGACCTCGTTGGCTCCTTTGACCCGTGGTCTTTCTGACTTCGTTGACTCGGTTGACTCGCGTGGTTGTGGCAGGTGAAGTACGGTGACAGGGAGGTGCAGAACGGTGACGAGTTGACGCCCAGCGAGGCAGCAGCGGCGCCATTCGTGGAGATAGCCGGGCGGCACGAGAACGGGGACCTGTACACGCTGGTGAGGCACCTCTGACGTGGACTGTAGGCGGTCATGCCACGCACAGATGATTAGTCGATGCTATCATTAGTCGTAGCACCACGAGCCGTCCATGGGCCTGTACGCCGCTCTCTCTCTGTGCTCTCTTCCTCTGCCTTTATGCCCAGTCTCTCACCCCACTCGCCATGTGCCCCTCCCCGCTCTCCTGCCCCTGCCCCTGCCCCCACCAGGTGATGTCAGACCCAGACGCACCCAGCCCAGATAACCCCGTAGCGGCTGAATGGCTGCACTGGTGAGATGGGGAGGAGGGGGGAAAGAAGAGGAGAGGGGAAGAGGGGGGGGAAGGGGGGGGGAGCTTTGGGCATGCATTTGAGTACGTGTCCGCGAGTATGTGTGCAGCTGTGAGGGTCCTGTGCAGATGGATACACTGTCTCTTCACCATTCAACGCGTTTGTGTTCCCATGGCCATGCAGGCTGGTGGTGAACATACCGGGGGCCACCACTCTCCCGCACAGCAGCGCGGGCGACCCAGTGACGGCGTACAAGGGGCCCTCCCCGCCCATGGGCGTGCACCGCTACGTGCTCGCGCTCTTCCGCCAGCCGCAGCGCATCACTGCCCACGCGCCTGCCGCGCGCAAGGGCTTCAAGGCGCGGCAGTGGGCGTCGCAGCACGGGCTGGGGAGGCCCGTGGCTGCGGTGTTCTTCCGCGCCCGGAAGGAGTAATGGGCTTGAGCCGGTTCAAGCCGGCTCATTTTTTAGGCGTCTCAGAAATGGACTCCTCGCGCTGGGGAGGCCCGTGGCTGCGGTGTTCTTCCGAGCTTGGAAGGAGGGGTGAGGGGCTTGAGCCGTCTCAAGCCGGCTCTGCAGGGCGAGGGAAGTGGAGTGAGCAGAGGGGAACGAGGGAGATTCGTGGGGGCTGTGTGAGCCAGATGACGGTGGGTGGTACTAGCGTGGCATGGCTGACAGTGTGCCAGAGGGAGAGGAATGGCCCCATACCCTGGGCTATGCAGCACCCACCCCAGCCCCTTGTCCATATACCAATGTTATGTCATGTGAATGGGCCATAATAGACTGCTGCAGCACTGCATGTGATTTAGTACACCGATAGCGCTGCATATAGTATATGGATTCAACTGTGTACATAATGAAAGCAATCTGCTGGGTAGAGTCTATAACCTGTAATTTATCTGTCCCGAGCAATGTGGAGTAGCGTTACAGACCCAAGTGCAGTGCTCGCAATGTGTGTACAAGGTGCACTCAGGGTCAGAGAGCACCGGCAGGTGGCTCGGTCGTGGGAGCACCATGCCACACAGCCATGCCCGGCCATTATGTATGCCATAGCTCCCCTACGGTCTTGGCTCGAATGCCAGAACCGCAGGGAGGAAGGAGAATCTGCAGGGCTCCTCTGGATGGTTGGCTCTCTGCAAGAGGAGGAGTCAGAGCTCCCAGCCGTTTAAAGAGTCGGAGCTAGGCACCGACTTGATGGATGCTTTCATTGCCTCTGCCCCTGCCGCTGCTGCTGGTGCCTCTGCCGCTGCTGCTGGTGCCCCTGCCACTGCTGCTAGCGCCGTTGCTGCTGGCGCCGCTGCTGCTGCTGGCGCCGCTACTGCTGCTGCCGCTGCCGCTGATGGTGGTGCTGCAGTTGTTACCACAAGGCCTTTCTTCTTCTTCCTCCCTTTCCTTCCACGCGCTGCCGGCACCTCCACTGCTGCCCTCACTGCTGCCTGCCCACTGCCAGCACCAGCAGCAACAGCAGCCACACCACCACTACCAATGCCACTGCTGGCACTGACGCTGCTGCTGCTTGCAACATAAGTATTGGTGGCGCTACTTGCAGCAGGTGCTGCCTTCTTTCCTTGGCTGTCTCCTATCCTTCCTCCTTCATCCATAACTCTCCTATCTCCTGCAGCGGCTGCATCAAGGGTCGTACCACTGCTGGGGAGGGCATGTGAGCTGAGAGCGGTGCCAGGAGCAGCAGAGGCGTCTGATGCAGCCCAAGCAGCTGCCTTGTCCAGTGTCGACCCTGCAGCGCCAGGCACAGGGCGAGCCTGTGCAGGTGCTGCAGATGAGCCTAGAGCGGCAGGGGTTGCAGGCGGGGTGTGGGTCACACGGGCTGTGGCAGGGATGGCAGCAGTGGGCCCTGCATGTGTGCCAGCACCGCCCTCGTTGCCAACCATGCCGCCCCCGTTACCACCATCGCCACTGCCGCCCTCCCAATCACCACCGCTGCCGCTGCTGCCACCTCTGCCATTGCTGCCTAGCACCCCTACAATCACTTGCTCAAGTCTTTTCTCCTCCTCCTCCTGCTGCTGTTGCTGCCGCTGCTGCTGCTGCTGCTGTCCTTGTTCCATTCCCTTTGCCTGCCTCAAATCCGTTCCTACTTCATCACTTGCTCTCTCTCCCTCCTCACTCACTTCCCTCTCCTCACTCACTCTCACCTCCTCCATCGCATCTCCACCCTCCTCCTTCACCATGCAGTCGTGACTCACTGCCCCTGCACAAACCGCTCTGCCCCCTCTCTCTCCGCTCTCTCCTCCCCGCCCATCCTTCACTGCAGAAACAACCACCTCCTTCTCCCTAACACTATTCACCACTCCCCCTTCCGCACATCCCCCTTCCGCACATCCCCCTCCCTGCACAATGCCCTGCACCCCAGCGCTGCACTCTGTTCCCCTTAACTCCTCCTCGGCCCCCAGCTCCACTCGCACCACCTCCTCCGCCTCCTCTAAACCCCCCTCCTCCACCCCCACTTCCCGCCCTTCCCTCCCAGCCCCATGCACCCTACCGTACTCCTGCTGCTCCTGCTGCTCCTGCTGCTCCTGCTGCTCCTGCTGCTCCTGCTGCTCCTGCTGCTCCTGCTGCTCCTGCTGCTCTTGCTGCTCTTGCTGCTCCTGCTGCTCCTGCTGCTCCTGCTGCTCCTGCTGCTCTTGCTGATCTTGCTGCTCCTGCTGCTCTTGCTGCTCTTGCTGCTCCTGCTGCTCCTGCTGCTCTTGCTGCTCTTGCTGCTCCTGCTGCTCCTGCTGCTCCTGCTGCTCCTGCTGCTCTTGCTGATCTTGCTGCTCCTGCTCCTGCTCCTGCTCCTGCTCCTGCTCCTGCTGCACTTGCTGCTCCTGCTCCTGCTCCTGCTCCTGCTGCTCTTGCTGCTCTTGCTCCTGCTCCTGCTGCTCTTGCTGCTCCTGCTCCTGCTCCTGCTCCCGCTCCTGCTCCTGCTGCTCCTGCTCCTGCTCCTGCTCCTGCTGCCCCAACCCCTGCGCATCCACCTCCACCATTTGCGCCTCCCCTGATGGCTGCGCCCTGCGCTCTGGCTCGCCCTCTCTCTGCCTGCTCTCATCTGCTCCCACCTTGCTCCCCCTCCCTCTCTCATCTGGGGGTCCCGCAGGGTTGACAGGGGGAAGCGGGGCAGGGGGAGGGGTAGCAGATGGAGGGTGGGAGGCGGGAAGAGCGGAGGGCAGCGGCTGCAAGTCGGGCCCACTGAAGGGCTGTGGCTGGTGGTGGGGCCGAAATGGGGGTTCACTGCGGGGAGAGGCGATGGGAGAGAGGGTCGAGAGTGGGGGTCAGAGTGGGGCCAGAGAGGCACGGATGAGGAGGAGGAGGAGGAGGAGGAGGAGGAGGAGGAGGAGGAGGAGGAGGAGGAGGAGGAGGAGGAGGAGGAGGAGGAGGAGGAGGAGGAGGAGGAGGAGGAGGAGGAGGAGGAGGAGGAGGAGGAGGAGGAGCCGCATGCTGCTGATGATGCTGCTGCTGCTGCTGCTGCTGATGCTGCTGCTGGCGCTGCTGGTGGTGCTGCTGGTGCTGTTGCTGCTGCTGGCGCTGCTGGTGGTGCTGAAGATGGCGGTGGTGGTGCTGGTGGTGGTGATGCGGGTGCTGGTGGTGACACTGCTGCTTCTGCTGCTGCTGCTGCTGCTGAGTGAGGAGAGGAGGACGGGAGGGAGCGGGAGGCGGGGGGGTGGCGAGGGTGGGTGAGGCGGGGTGAGGGGGCTCCCAGGGAGGAGCAGGGGGTGCAGCTGAGAGACACAGAGGCAGAGGCTAGGGGGTGGCACGTCATGGGGAGGGTGGCACGTGGTGGGGAGGGTGGCACGTGGTGGGGAGGGTGGCACGTGGTGGGGAGGGTGGCACGTGGTTGGGATGGTGGCACGTGGTGGGGATGGTGGCACGTGGTGGGGATGGTGGCACGTGGTGGGGATGGTGGCACGAGGTGGGGGATGGTGGCACGAGGTGGGGAGGGTGGGTGCACGAGGTGACACGAGCACAGGAACACAAGACAGAGGGGTGGCATGGACGTGGGATGGGGAAGGCGGGAGGAGGGGGGTGAGTGAGAGAATTGCAGGAAGCATCACGGAGGTTGCAACTTACCTGAGCAGGCAGTGCTGCAGGAATACGAGAAGGGGAGCAGACTGATAAACTGTACTCAGCACTCACACACAGCCGCAGGGGCCTTAGCATTCTTCAGGGGTATACAATGCGGGTTTTACTACAAAGAAGGCTACAGCAGTCATGCTTACGATCGTCTAAGATTGTCTACCGAGCACTTGAGCCCCTAATTTCTGCCCCTGCTTGCACTTGTTAGACCCCTGCTGCCGTGCCTAGGTCCGGCACTTCCCGCCCTGCCCTTCCCTCCCCTCCCCTCCCTGGAAGATCATCGGTCCGGGCCCGGGCTTGGGCCAACTGATGGCTTGCATCACCCTCACTACGCTCTTAACCTCTAGCTACACCACCAGCCCTATACGGTGTTGAAACAACGCAGAGTGCTACCACTGCAGAATGCCTGGGTTGGAGAGCACACTGATGCCTCACGCATGGCAGGCCGGTTTCTTGTGTGCCGTTTTCAGCATCCTGCATGAGCGAGAACGGTCTGTTGGTGCCATCCTCGGCTGATACATGGATAGCTCACGCACAGCACAAGTGCTCCAGGGAACGAAGGAAGCAACACGAGGGAATGGGAAGAACGCCATCTCACCTAAGCCGTGGGGGTCGTCGGTGAGCCATGGGTCGTCAAATGAAAACACTCCCAGCGAGTCTCCTCTCTCGCCCTCGCGCCTCCCGCTTATTACAACTCCCATTCTCCCCTGCTCCCCCTCCTGCCCACCTTCCTCCACTGCCCTCGGAGCACGTGCTAAAAGCCCAGCAGCAGCTGGACCATCTCCCTCCTCCACGCTCTCTCTCCGCTCACCCCTCCCCCCAGCAACGCCTGTCGTTCCCCCCTCCCCAGCCAATGCGCCCAACGTGCGTCCTGCTTCACCCACCGCTCCACCCATCCCACCTATGGATCCATCGCCTCCCTGCTCCCCCTGCACCCACTCCCCACCTCCCCCCACCTGCCCTCCCCCTCTGCCCCCACCTGCCCCCCCTCCGCCCTCACTCTGATGCCCGCCCCCCTGCTCGGCTCTAGAGCCACACCCAGCCCCGCCCTCGCCCCCTGCGCTGCATGCCCCCACCCAGAGCCCCCTGCGTCCTGCGTGCTGCTGCTGCCCATGGCCGCAGGCACGGCGCCCAAGACGCCCCCATGCGACTCCACTCGCGTCCCGTGCACCCCTTGCGGCCCCTGCAGCCCCTCTAGGCCCTCCAGCCCCTGCAGCCCCTCTAGGCCCTCCAGCCCCTGCAGCCCCGAAACTGCTGCTGCTGGCACGGGTGCTGGTAGGAGCGGAGGAGGCAGGGGAGCAGCAGCGTGCCTGAGCAGCCCTCCAAGAGCGGACGTGCGCCTGCTGGCGCTGATGCTACCACTGTGATCGCCGCCCCTGTGGTCACCACCCGCATATGCCTCTGCCGGTGCGCCCAGTCCTTCCATGCCGCCAGTATGCTGCTGCCTGTGGCGTGCCTGGTGCCCCCCACTGCTGTCTGCAAAGCCCTCGACTATGGGAGGGCGGGCAGCACGCGGGCGCACAGGCAAATTGGAAGAGGAAGGGGAGGCAGATACGGAGTCCCGAGGGTGAAGGGGGGAGATGAACCCATGCCTGTGACCGCAGGGGTGCCTTGGGGTGTGTGGCTTGGCAGCGGTGGATGGGTGGTGCGGCCTTGCGTTGGTGACTGGGAGGCGGTGTGGCTGCTGCTAGATGGTGAGTCCTCGGGCTGAAGCCGAATCTGCAGGGCACCACACCATGCACTCATTCCCCAAGCATGCATCCATGCACAGTAGCACGCATCCGCACAGCACCAATGTATTGACTCACCGCCCCATGAGATTGAGTAACCCGGTGGTGCTTTGAGATGCAGACGGTTTGTGCAAAAAAACGCTACAAAACTCAGCGGGTCAAAGCAGACCCGAAATTGTTCAGTGGAAAGGGGAGTGACACGTGGACACAAGTTAGGGCACTCACATAGGTGCGCGCCCACAGCGGCGTGGCTCTGCTGGTGGTGAGCTGCACCTCCGCGTGCATCAGATACGCCCGCTGTTCCGCCTCCTCTACCGCCCTCTGCCGACCCTCTTCTGCCGAACAACGCCCACTGCTGCCAGCAGCAGCATCAAGTGAAGCAGCAGCAGCAGCAGTACTGTGCGCGTCCCACGCCCCCTGAATGGGCTCGTCCCTGTCGCTCCAGCTCACCCGGCGGCACACGTCCCACACCTCACTCGCCTCCGCTGCCACCTGCAGCACCACCTCCCCTCCCGCCCTGGTCCCGCCCCCCCCCATGCCCCGCACGCTCACTCCCGCGGCGGCAGCAGCAGAGCGCAGGGCAAGCGTGGGCAGCGAGGGCAGGCGCTCAAAGGAGCGACCCCCCAGCACAGAGGAGTCAGACTGCGCCATGGGGGGGAACGGCGGGATGGGGGAGAAGGGGGGGATGGCGCCCCTGCCAGGCTGCATGGCCCCTGCACTGGTCGCGCCGTGAGGTGGCAGGTACGAGCCCCTGGGGTCGTAAGTGTGGCTGCTGTACGCCTGACTGTATGAATTGGGCGGGTGCATGGCGCGGCCGTGGCTGTGGGATGGGGAGGAGGAGGAGGAGGATGAGGGGTCTGAGGCAGCGGCATATGGCGTGAGGTGGTAGCGAATCAGGTGGCCCAAGGGAGAGAACACCCACAGCTGCTCTGCTATTGGCGGCGGAGCCCACTCTGGCTGCCCGTAAAACTGCCCGGCAAGTACCTGCTGATGCTGCTGCTGCTGCTGCTGCTGCTGGTGCCCCGCTTCCCCTCGCCCTCCCAACACCCCACCACCTGGCACCCCTCCGAAGTGGAAAGCAGCGGCGACGGCGCCTGGGATCTCCATCCCCAGCCCTGCTGCTGCCGCTGCCACGCCCGTCACATTCCCCCGCCAGCCGCTGTTGGCGTTGCGGATGCGCGCCACCGACGAGAGAGCCACTGGCGCCGGGACGCGCAGAGGGGGAGGGGCATGCGAGGGAGACGAGGAGAAGCGCAGGGGCGCGTACGAGGACCACCAGGGGCGGGGGGGGGGAGGGGGGAGGAGGGACGGGGAGTGGGTATATACAGGGTGGAGGAGGGTGGGAGAGGAAGGGGAGGGCAGGTGGGTTGCGGGCCCCACGGGTCCTCCAAAGGGCGAGATGGCGAAGAGGTGCGTGGTGCCGCGCGCTGATGACACGGCCACCCACCGGCTGTCGTGCGAGATGGCCGCGCTCTGAATCACCTGGGGGACGCAGCCGCGACGCCACGCACGCAGGCAGGCAGGCAGACAGGCAGGTTGACCAGTAGGTGGGTGGGCAGTGGAGTGGGGATGAGATGGGATGAGACGAAAGGAGGAGGGGGATGGAGAGCGCGAGGCAACTGAAGGGGATACGACATCACATGCACAAGGTATTGACATCAATTGGAAAGCTTCCAAAAGGCTATTCATGGCACGCATGCATGTATGGTAGAACTCAGCATGGCGTGCTCCCTTACAGCGTTAGTGAGTCCTCGGTGAAGCCTGTACAAATGTACATACGAGCAGCCGTCCTTCAAATATTAACATAGGGGACGGAAGCAAGAGATGGGGTGGGCGGAAAGGGGGAGTGGTGAGGCAGAGGAGGGGCCGGCGCAGAAGCGAACAGCAAAAGAGTCGCATACATGCAGCGAAAGAACACAAGCAGAGTGGCCAGTGCAGGGCATTTGACAAAAGAGACATCACGGAAACTGAAACCGAGGGTGGGAGGTGCCAGCACCTGTGGCTTGCTGTCAACGAGTGCGGGCGCGGCTGGTGCGTTGGCAGGGGTGGGGGCGGGCGTTAGGCGGAAGACGTTGAGGGAGTGGCCGCAGAGCGAGGCGGAGAGCAGCAGCGTGCCGGAGCAGTCAAACGCCAGCAGCGCGATGGCGCTGCCGTGCGCCCTGAAGTGCGCTATGATGGCCCTCGTCGCCACGTCCCGCACCACCACCTGCTCGCATGGGTGAGGAGTTGGGGGAGAGTGAGATGTGGATGCATGAGCAGCTCGCAGCATGGCAGCGACCAGAGGCAGCGGCAAAAGGCGGCAGCAGGGAGCAGCGTAAGGGCGGGCAGCAGGCAGAAACTCACGTTGCCAGCATGGGTGGGGTCAACAGGTGGGACGGACGGCAGCCCGGCAGCATGCGCTCCTGCTCTTGGACTCGCGTCCGCATACCCGTCTGTCGACGACCCGACACCGATGCCCCGGACATTGAAAACCCCTGACAACCGATGCGTGTGGTGAGTCTGGAGCAAACATGTGCTCCGGACTCCTGCTGCTCCAGGGAGACCCCGACCCTGCAGAACACCTGAAGCACCTGAAGAACCACCTGAGGCCGTCGAAACACCTTGAAGCCAGTGGCGGAATCCGTCACCATGTCCGTCCAGTACTTGCTGACCGTCCGCACCCCCAGGTCCCCCAGGGCAGCTATCCCCCCCGCCAGCTGCTTCCCCGACTCCTTGGCGTAATGCGCCACCAGCGCGCCCCCGCCCTGCAGCCCCTGCTGCTGCTGCAGCGGCGGCGGCAGAGGAAGAGGAGGCGAGGAGGAGGGGGCGGTGGTGATGTGGGGTGCGAGCGGTGGTTGGAGGGTAGGCGAGCCAGCGCGGCCCCAGCGCGAGCCGCCGTGGGGGGAGGTGCGGGCGATGCCGGGCAGCGAGGGGGGAGGGGGTGCGGATGGGTGAGCACGCTGAAGGCCGTGCTGAGGGTCGCCAGGTCGTATATGTAGATCTAGGGGAAGGGGAAGTTGGGGGATGGGGCGGGAAGAGGCGAGCGTGGGGGTGGGGGGGGGGAGGTTCGAAGAAAAGCAACAAGGATAGTGTGTGAGTAGTAGTGGAAGTCATATGATCCGTGTGCGTTGAACGGATGGCGCGTCAAGGAGGGCAGCTGGCGGAATGAGTGGCGATTACAGAAGAGCGGTGATCAAAGATGGAAAGCGATTGCATGGCTGCTGTGATTCTTGGCATCTCTCTCTCACCTGCTCTGCGACGGCCACGGCCCAGCACCGTGCGGTTGCTCCGCACGCCCATCACCCCTGCCCGCCACACCGCAATCGAGTGCACGTACGAGCTGCTCCGCAACGAGTACAACCGCACCACGCTCTGCTCGCCACCCGTTCATCTTCGCACGCGTACGGCTCATCCACCCCGTCCGCCACGTCAGCGTACGGTTCATCATCGTCCAAGTACGGAAATTGGCCAGACAACCTCCGACTTTCAAAAGCTACCCCGGAGGGAGGAGGAACGGCCGCAGGGGACACACGACGCACAGCACGGGATGCGCGTCGTGCAGGGGGCTCTCGGGGGTGGTTCTAGAAACGTAAGGGAGGGGGTGGAGCGACTCGGCGGGCCGTCGCGTCGCGAGGCGAGTTCGCGCACGGCATGTGGCTGCTGCACGTCCCCACACGTGGAAGCCCGTGGTGTACGCCACGAGCAGCACTCGGCGCGTGCCGGACACGCGCACGCCGCTCGACGACGACGACGACGATGATGAAGCGTCCTCCAACGACCCGAACCCCGCCCACGTGACCTGCCACGTGAATGGATTGCGAAATATAAAAATCCAGTCCGGCAACAGAGCCATTTGTTCAGGGGAAGCTTGAGCAGTTAATAAAATAGTTGAGGCGTGATGTCAAAAAGGTGAATCCCATGCCGTATGTTTCAAAATAGAGGCTGTTTTTAGCTTCAAGAATGGCGTGGTGTATTCTCGATGTCAAGACTGTTCACACCTGCTCCTTGTTCTGGCTGTCGTCCCAAGGCCGCGGCGACGGACGCGGAGGCGGAGCGGAAGGCGACGAGGGAGTCGGCGGAGGAGGAGACATGGCGGATGTAGCTGGAGATGGCAACGATGGCAGCAGCCCCGACGACAGACTGCGCACGCTCGGAAGGCTGCGGCCCTTGTGGGCGTGCACTTGCTGTACTTGCTGGGGGACGACGTGGATGGGTCGCCTGGCCTCATGATATTGCTGCTGATGCTTCTGTTACTACTGCATATGAGGTCGTGGCATACAGCACGCGTTCGTCGCAGCTATCTACCACCACGAGTTCGCTATCGCTGTCCGTGTCCGTGACTAAGTATACATGGTAGGAATAATCAAATTATGAGGCAGATATTTACGGGGGCTCTCGGGAGCACGAGCCGTGAGTGTATCTACAACACGGGAATGAAAAGAATGAGCAGATTAATTTGCCGATTCGGACGGGCTAATATTAAAGGGAAGCCAGTCAGTCAATAGCTAGACGTTAGTGGAACGAGCCTAGTCCTTCGACTTGGTAACAAACACTTGACGAAGGTAGAAAACGCCACGTTGCACACGCAGCTCGTTTCAAGTAACCCATGGATCACGCCATGTCATGTGTTATGTTGTGATGCATGGTGTTGGAATCGATTACCGCATCTCGCTCATTCCACTCACGCCATGGCGTGGAATTTCAGTTTCATATTCATCCCCCCTCATCTTCCCTCTCCTCGCATCACATCCCAGCCTTCTTCCTTTGTGCTCGTTCGCACACTCCGCTTCACCCACCAGCGAACCAGAATCGAGGGTGGGCGGACGCCGATTGCATCTGTCTCAGTTACGCTCCCACTGACCAATCGGAGCCCGTCTCAGTTATGTTTGCCGTTGACCAATCGAGCACACCGTCTCTTTTCCATCCATCAAACTTCATGGCGGGACGGGAGGGCCAGCTTCTGGCATTCGTCATCCGCCACGTGCTCATCACCAATTTTTGTAGTCTACAAACGAGAAGCTCAACATGCTAATACCGAGAACACAGTTATGTAGGGGCTTTACGTCATCAGTGGGTCGGACTTGGGTGTCAGCGGATGACCCCACGCACACGCCAGCACTGCTGACCTGTACCAAGCCCCACTTGGTGGCTGCTGTGGTTCGGCTGATGGTTAGCAAGCGAGTCTCATAACCGATTGGTCGAAAAGGCTTGTGAGAGAAAATTGTCTTCGTCATGAGGTGCTTCGTCATTGAAGCCTATTAGCTTTCATTCTTGACTATGCCTACTCAGTTACTTCAACGTTTTCTAAATGAAGTTCATTTACACGAAGCACCCTACCCAATCGTGTAAAGAACCGAGACAAGACAATAGTCAAAATTGTTTATGCTTTAAACCTATCACGTGGGTGCTTGGTCTAGTGGTATGATTCTCGCTTTGGGTGCGAGAGGTCGCGAGTTCGATTCTCGCAGTACCCCAATTTTTTCGGAACAACTTGTTTTTCATGCCCTGCTGAGTTTCCAGGGGCATGACACTGTCTGGAGGAAGCGCCACCTCCATTGATTACTAGTCGTCAGAAGCTAGGTGTGGGAGGTCTCCCATTTGTTGGCATCAGCATCGAACGAGTTTTTCTGTTAAATAGACCGTCGACTGCCGTTATTTTCCGCATTCGCAATAAAGTAGCTGGTTGCAGCGCTTTTAGAATGGCCGCCGCATGTCGCGGGGCGTTCGACTACGGCAGGGCGATGCGGCTGGAGGCGCAGGGGACGTGGCGCGAGTGGCTGGGGGAGGCGGACCACGCGCTCCTTGCGCCGTGGCTGCGCGACCCCGCCACATGGGGGGAGTTCGCGCTGGCGCTGGTGGAGTGCAGTGCGCGGGGATGAGGTGTGCGGGACGCGCTGCCTCCTCTAGATTAGATTCTGTCGCCGTTCCCCGCATTCCGCGCGCACGAATGATCGCCATTTCTTGCATCCTCGCTGCAACCAGTGCTGTCCCGTTTCCCTTCCGCCCACCCTCGATCCCCTCGCCCATTGTCCCGCTTTCGGGTGTCCGCCGCGCCTTTGTCCCCCGCAGGCGCGCACCCTCTCCCCCGCCATGCTCCGCGTGCAGCTGCGGGCGCGCTCGTTGCTGCTGGGGCGCGCTGTGGGGAGGCATGGGGGGAGACAGGGGGGGAAATGGCGGAGGGCGAATTGGCGCGGAGTGTGGGGGGGATGGGCGCGGAGCAGAATGCACTCACAGACGATGACGTATACCCGTGCCTGGACGATGACGGTGTACCCATGCCTGGACGATGACGTGGACGAGTGGCATGCCATGCTGTCTGCCGCCCAGCCATCCCCCCATTGCATTGCGGTGCTGAGGGCCATCCGAGACGAGGTGAGGGCGATGAGAGACGAGGTGAGGGCGATGAGAGACGAGGTGAGGGCGATGAGAGACGAGGTGAGGGCGATGAGAGACGAGGTGAGGGCGATGAGAGACGAGGTGAGGGCGATGAGAGACGAGGTGAGGGCGATGAGAGACGAGGTGAGGGCGATGAGAGACGAGGTGAGGGCGATGAGAGACGAGGTGAGGGCGATGAGAGACGGGTGAGGGCGATGAGAGACGAGCGGCCACAATGCACACACGAGGCACGAGGTGAGGCGAGAAGCCATGGTGCATGCATGCCCACGGTTCCCCTCGCACTCCACCGGCCCTTTGCTTCTCAACTCTCTCCCGCTTCTCACACTCCTCTCACCCTCCTTCCCCCACCTCTCACCCTTCTCCCATACCTCAGCTTTCCCCAAACCCCCTTCCCCCCCCTTCCTGCACGCCCTCCTCCAGGTGGGTCCCCTCAATGGCGCCATCATCCGCAGGTCCGAGTCCCCCGACCGCCTCTGCTGTGTGTGCTGTGCTGTGCTGTGCTGTGCTGTGCCGCGTCTCAAGGCTGACTCTACAAAGTCACAACTTCCGTTCTTAAACCGTCCGCCTCTACCCTTGCCGTTTTGACCAGTGGTCCGTTTGTCACCGTCTCATGTGCTTGCCATGCTGTTGAGACTCAACACCACTTCATCTCTCACACACCCGCTCTCCTCTCCTCCCCAACCTTCTCCCCCATTCGTCTCCCATCCCTCCCCATGGTGCACCAGAGTGGGTTTGGGCGCTCGACCCTCCTCCCCAGCACCGCACTCCACCTCCCAAGACCCCTCCCCCTCCTCCGATTCTTCTCCCGCCTTCCCCTCACTCCTACCCACGGGTCACTCAACCCACACCAACAAGGGGGAGGGGGGGAAGGAGAGTGGGGGGAGGCGACGAGGGGGCGAGCAGGGGGCGGGAGGAGAGGGGCGGCAGCGACGGCAGTGGCGGCTGCTGCATGCTGTGAGGCGCGCCAAGCTCTCTGCCAAGCCGTTCCGAGAGCGGGTAGCACTGGTGCGGACTGCGGCCGGCATGGCTCGTCTGGTGCAACAGCAGCAGCAGCAGCAGCATAGGAGGAAACAGCAGAGAGAGGGTAGAGTGGAGGGAGAGGAGGGAGGGGAGGAGGGGGCGTGGGAGCGAGAGGGCGCGTTCACAGAGGACTTGGACTTGGAGTGTCTGGCCAACGCCATGCCCGACCCTGTGGTCGCTTCTGCTCCCCCCACTGGCAGCAAGGCCGCCCCTGGCGCGGGGGAGGAGCAGGAGGGCAGCGGGCAGGGCGCGGGCTCGCCATGGGGGGAGGCGACGTGGGTGCGGGCATGCGATCAAACGAGGGCATGCGGGGGCACAGGGACGAGCAGGGGCAGAAGGAACCGGAATGGGAGCAGCAGCAGGGCGAAGCGCAGGCCAGTGCGCGGTTCAAGGTGGTGGTGGCGAGGGCGCTGCAGCAGGTGGGGTGCGAGGGCGCCACTGACAGCGCCCTGGGCGTGCTGACTGACCTGCTGGCCCACCGCCTCAGGCAGATGGGGCGGCAGCTGCGCGCGTGCATGGACCGCTGCGAGCAGCTGCAGCGGGGGGTGGGGACGGGGGGAGGGGCCATGGGGGGAGTGGCAGTTGGGGAGGGGGTGTGGGGGGTGACGCAGGGGAGAGCGAGGTGATTTGGGAAGGGGGAGTGGGGAGAGGAAGGGGAGGAGCGGCGGCAGCAGGCGGTGCAGATAGCAGCAGCAGAGATGCTGCTGGCAGGGGGCAATGCTCTTATCGGGTAGGCTCTTACGGGGTATGCCGCTATTTGTGTGCTCTTATGCCCCCAATGCATCCCCCCCATGCCCCATGCACCCCGCCTGACCATCCCCCCCCCCCATGCATATCATCCCATCTTCAGTAGTCCCTCGTCCGCCTTCCGCCTTCCGCCTTCCATCTTACGACTTGGGCGTGGTCCTCTTGAGCGTGGGTGCTCTTGAGCGTGGGTTCTCTTGAGCGTGGGTGCTCTTGAGCGTGGGTGCTCTTGAGCGTCGGTGCTCTTAGGCGTGGGTGCTCATACGCGTGGTGCTCTTGAGCGCGGGTGCTCTTGAGCGTGGGTGCTCTTGAGCGTGGGTGCTCTTGAGCGTGGTTGCTCTTGAGCATGGGTGCTCTTGAGCATGGGTGCTCTTGAGCGTGGGTGCTCTTGACCGTGGGTGCTCTTGGGCATGGGTGCTCTTCGTGAGTGCTCTTGAGCGTGGTTGCTCTTGGGCGTGGGTGCTCTTGGGCGTGGGTGCTCTTGAGCGTGGGAGCTCTTGAGCGGGTGCTCTTGAGTGCTCTTGAGGTGGGTGCTCTTGAGTGGTGCGTGGCGGTGCTGTTGGCGTGGGTGCTGTTGGGCGTAGGTGCTCTTGTGTGTGGGTGCTCTTGAGTGTGGTGTTCTTGAGTGTGGTTCTCTTGAGCGTGGTGCTCTTAGGACGTGGGTGCTCTTGAGCTGGGTGCTCTTGAGCGTGGGAGCTCTGCGCTGGGAGCTCTGAGCGTGGGTGCTCTTGAGCGTGGGTGCTCTTGCGCGTGGGTGCTCTTGGGCATGTGTGCTCTTTGACGTGGGTGCTCCACCGTCCACCGTCCACCGTCCACATTCCTCCGTTCACCGTCCACCGTCCACCATACACCGGTCCACCTCCCACCGGTGGACGCCGTCCCCGTCCACCGTCCACCGGTGGACGCGTCCACCATCCACCGTCCACCGTCCACAGTCCTCCGATGGACACCGTCCACCGTCCACCGCCTACTGCGTGGACGACATCCACCGTCCACCGCCCACCGCGTGGACGACATCCACCGTCCACCGCCCTCCGCGTGAACGCTATCCACGCTCCACCTTCCACCGGTCCACAGCTCACCGGTGGACGCCGTCCACCGGTCCACCGTCCACCGTTGGACGCCGCCCACCAGTTCACCGTCCATTGGTGGACGCCGTCCACCCGTCCACCGTCCACGGGTCCACCCACCACCGGTGGACGCCGTCCACCGTCCACAGGTCCGCTCACCAGTGGACGACAACACCGTCCACCGTCCACCGACCATTGGCCGACGCCGTCCTCCGTCCACCGTCATCCGGTGGACACCGTCCACCTTCCACCACCCACCCGTGGACGACGTCCACCGTCCACCATCCACCGCCCACCGCGTGGACACCGTCCATTGTCCACCGTCCACCGCCCACCGCGTGGACGCTGTCCACCGTCCATCGTCCACCAGTCCACCGTCCACCGGTGGACGCCGCCCACCAGTCCACCGTCCATCGGTGGACGCTGTTCACCGTCCACCAGTGGACGCCTTCCATCGGTCCACCGTCCACCGGTGGACGGTGGGCGTCCACAAGGGTGGACACCGTCCACCGTCCACTGGTGGACGCCTCCACTGTCCTCCATCCACCATCCTTGGGTGGACACCGTCCGTCTACCGGTGGACGCCGGTCACTGGTCAACTGTCCACGGGTCCACCGGCCACCGGTGGACGGTCCACCGGTGGGCGCCTTCCACAGGTCCACCATCCACCGTCCACCGTCCGCCGTCCACCGGTGGACGCGTCCACCGTCCACCGTCCACCGCCCACCGGTGTACGCCGTCCACCGTCCACCGTCCACCTTTTCTCCTTCTTTCTTCCTCTTTCTCTCTTTCTCTCCATCTTCCATCTTCCATCTTCCTTCTTCCCTCTTCCCTCTTCCCTCTTC